CTAAAATTTGTGTTCTAGCATAGATTAGCTCTCCAGATGAATGGTGAAAATGCCTCAAAAACACTTTTGTCCCCTGGTGAACATTTATTTAATAAACTTATTTCACAGTTTTCACGTTATTTGGTAGAGTTGATTGACTTAGGTCAGAAATGACCAATGAGAAATGTATGAGAGACAGAGATTTAGCCATTTAGCAATATTCTTGAAGAAATTTGTACACTATCTTGAATAAAGTAGATCAATAAAAATGGTCTTAAAACTCATAATTATTTACACCTTTTCTCATTCCAGAAGGGAATTTGAGAGAGTAATATATTTGTTGAATTGAAAGCTACCTACATATTACTTTGTGCCTTTACTTCTAGTAATCTTTTCAAACTAATTATTTCAAAAGGTTATGAAAACAGTTAAAGCTTAGTTATTTAAGAAAATGGGGGACTTCCCTGGCTGTCCAGCAGTTAAGACTTAGCCTTCTAATACAGTGGGTGCAGGTTCAATCCCTGGTCGGGGAGCTGAGAACCCACATGCCTCAAGGCCAAAAAACCAAAACATAAAACAGAAGTAATACTGTAACAAATTCAATAAAGACTTAAAAAAAGAAAATGGATATTTTGTTACTCTTAATGATTGCTTAAGATCAACCTGTATGACGTAGAGAATTGGGTAGTCATTTCTGAGATAGCAAAGCTAATATATGCAGAATCACATGTCAGAAATTGACTGGCTTGGGGTTAATCTTGATTGTCATAATATATCGGAGAAAACATTAGTTAGGGCCCTTCTCTGTTGTACTTTGGAACTAAAATGTTTAAAAGTATTGTTTCAAAGTGCCTAACATTTCCCCAGAGGAGTTTTCAAAACTGTTCCTCTAGTAGAAGATTTAATTGATGAAGTCACATGATTTTTAAAATATCATGTTGCAGGTAACAGGGCTGTTGTATATTGTGGATACTTGTTAGGCAGTCTGGATACCAGACTTTAATCTCATTTACTTTTACCGTGGGGAAATTATGTAGCTTTTCTATGCTTTACTCTTTACTTCTATAAAAAGGGCCTACTCTGTGACCCTCACTAACTTATGTTAGGAATTTAGATGACTAGAGCTTTAAGCCTTTTTATAGAAAGGCTCAATGAAAGTCAAGCTCATAGCTATGACACAAGTTGCTGTTGCTGCTTTTTGTAATAGTATTACCGTCATTATTACGTTTCAGATTCTGGGAAGAGGTGGTAACTTTTTGGTATAATACATCTTCCTAGGCTATAAATTAGTTACTTATATATTTGAAAGTCCTAGGAGTGGGGATTCTCTCTATGTATATATTTTTAATTTTAGGGAAAAAAGGTTTTCAGAGTTAAATAGGTTGGATGTAGAAAAATATTTTCTTCCATGGGATTAAAAGCCCTGGGACTTTAGAGCCTTTTGGTTTTTCTGAGAATTAAGTTCTCTTTTTCCTTGAGGACTGTGCCAAAGGGAGAGTCTTTGGTTCTCTCAGTACATTTATTCCTTCTAAGGAGCTTCTTCGTCTGGATGCCATACAGCGGTTCAGTGGCCTTTTCCTTTTTCTACCAATGTGTTGGGTTGGCCAAAAAGTTCGTTCAGGTTTTTCGTAAGATGTTATGGAAAAACCTGAATGAACTTTTTGGCCAACCCAGTATAAGCTCCTCTAGGTCATAAACTGTATCTTTTTTTTGTAACCCAGGACCTCGTGCAAGGACTAATGCATAATAGCCATTCTATACATGTTTAAACCACTCAGTCCTATGAGGTGGGCATTCTGAAGGAATAACTGAGTTTGAAAAGGCAAGAAATAAGTATCACTGAGATGGAAAGTTTTGGTAGGGAATGGTGAGAGGGAAGACTGAAAAAAAGGTTGGAGCATGATTTTATAAGTCCTTGACGGTGGTAAGTATTATTTTTTATGTTCTTTATCTCCCACACAGAAATTTATTGTCATCCTACGGGTGAATGGAATCTGTTCTCCATTTAGTTCCTTTGGGAACTAAACAAGCGCTAGTCCAATGTTTACTGCTTCTCTTTCTCTTGAATTGCATTCTTATGTGCATGGTGAGGTCTGAACATTCCTATCAGCAGTTATGGGTAGAGACTCCTCTGTGGGCTACTACAGATGGAATCAGAGAGAACATGTTAATTGTATCAAGGGCATATTTTTAACTGAACTATTAATGATGTTAGCAAGCCCTTGATGAGTCCCAGTCAACCTTTAGTGCTCCTAAAGAGCACTAAAATTGTTGATATTGATGGATAATGGAAAATACCTTTTGGAGGTAAAATTTTAATTCAGACTTAAATAAGAAATTTATTTCTCAAAGATACAAGTAAGATAAGAAACTGGACCTCATGTAGAAAAACTTTTACCCTCTGGAGACCTGAGTTTAATTTATTGACTTAAATCTTCATATTATGATACTTTTGGCATTTACAACCTTTGTCCATATCATGAAACCATCAGGTAGTCTGATATTTATGGGGTATGTTCCCTAGAGTGATTCCAGACCAAGAGAGTTTTCATAGTAAAGATAAAATTATGAAACAAAGCAGCAAAGAGGAAATTAATGTAGCTATGACCTAATTTGAAGTGAAATTTTTTACATGTGTTCTTATTCGACCTCTAGATTGCTTATTTCTTAAAAGAAAATTGTACCTGCTCTGCACCCTCAACTTGAAGGATATAGCTCATGAAGACATTTCTTATATATTTCTTCATCACATGTTTTTTCTCATTCAGAACATTTTACATCTGTTACTTTTACTTAGGTACTCATTTCTAAGTTTCAGGAATAGCTGAAGAAACTGAATACAGACCAGATGTATGACACTGATATTAACAATGTTTTTTTTTTAAAGTTCAGTTCTCTAGTAGAAGTCATAAAAACAATATTTCAAAATGTTTGCAGCACCCCCTGCTGGCTATATCATGGCAGTTCCTAAGTAAAGATGGCATTTTTAGATACTGCTCAGTAATACTTTAGGTATACACACCATTTCTATTTGGAGTTATTTTTATTTAGAAATAATTTCATTTGTATCTAATATATAATAGAGTTAAAATTTTAATTGAAGACAATTTTCTTTATAATTTGTCAATTGATATTTGAATGGCACTTATCCTTTCAGGCAATATATTTGTTGGAGACAAAGTATTTGCCGTAACCTTTTTACTGATATTTCAGATGAAATTTGGTGGGGGAGAGGCTTCTCCCCAAATATCCTATTTTATTGTAAATAATGCTAAAATGACCATGACTGCACACAAATTTGTGTGCACGTTTATTACGTGTTAAATACAAACCTAGCAATATTCATGAAGCTTTAAGAAGAGCACTTGGAATTTTGAAAGACATCCTCTTAGGAGGGTTTGGGAGTGGTGAGGACCTAAGAGCTAAGTGCTATAAAAGCCATGAGGACTGAGATCATGGTTGTTTGGCTCACCAGTTGTTTCAAGCCATGATCTGGAGTACTTTAGTGACCCCACTAAGGAGCTTTATGTCTGGAAAAAAAGTATTTACTTAAGGGAAGCATAATTTTCTAATTAGTGTCCTATGAAATGACAGCCATCGAATCTCAGTTTCTCAAGAGCAAAATTCAAAACTGCTGAACTAACTGAGCAAACATCATTTCCTAAGTGGCAGGTTAAGCTAAGTGACAAAAAATTTAGGACCATTGTTTGCAAACATTGAGTAAATTTCAGGTGGGATCCTGCCCTAACTTAAAGATAAATTTATTTTCTTTAAATAAAAACATGATTTCCTGTTATGTGTACACCTTTCATTCATTATTTTAACAAAAATTTATTGAGATTACACAGTGTTCCCCTAGTGCTTTATGTTTTCCTCCATTTTCACCCTGTATTGTAATTGATGGTCTTACTTGTTTGTTTCACCCACTGGGTGCTCAGTTAATGCATACTGGATGGATGGATGGATGGATGGATGGGTGGACAGATGGATGTTGAATGTAACAGGATTGAGGGGAGAATCTTAATGAATCATCCATGGCCTTTAATGTTCTTTCAGTTTCTGTAATAATTGCTCACTTTTGTGTATCTATGTCTTTGGGTGTGTTTTTTGGCTGACAGCACACATAGATCCTTAAATACTGTTAACTGATTTTATTTTCTAATGAAGAATTATTCATTCAAAGAAATGTAGCATTCTGAATCATTAGAAACTCTTAATCATAGACTGTTTTAAAAGAACTGTAGCTTATTAGTCACACATTTACTATAACACAGTCTTAAAAGCTAATGGTTGACTTTTCTAAATTAAAGTCCTGTGGTTCTGTCTGTGGTCCTTGTATAACAAGATGTATAATCTATTATTACATGCTAACATTATGATATTAGTATGATGATTAATTACCTGTGTCTGCATAAGTAAACAATGTTAAAGTACTTGAAAACCATTTATTTTCATAGCATTTCTCTCTACCATAATGGTAACTTTAGTATTAATTTTCTTACCACTCCTTTACAGCAATGTGAATTGCTGGTGAATTATCACAAAATCAATATTAGCATAGGCCCTAATTACGAGTCTAAGGTTCTTTACATATTGTGCTCTGGAGGTTAAATTTAGCTTGTTATATAGGTAGTCATTGTAAGATATATTTTAGAGTGACAGAAAGTAGTTTTACCTCTACCGATACCTTCTACCTATAATTTAGAAATAAATTTATACAATCTATTTGGACCTCTTGAAGTGACTATAGAGGTTATGAACTAGCTGCTCTTGGCATGTGCCTTGATTTAACAAATGAGGAAACTTGGGCCTGGAGAGATTAGACGAAACTTTCCAAAGTCCTGGTGCCTGAGCTACATTTCCTGATTAACTACCCAGAGTTTTTCCACATTGCTTACCATGTAGAGGATAGAGAATAAAATTATCTTATCAAATGGCCAGGAAGGGTGTTTTGCTGAATTAATTAGCTTGTAGTGTCTGTGAACTTGTGTGTAACATTTTCACATTTCTTTTTGTTGCAGAATGCAAAGTATGGCGAAATCCACTAAATTTATTTAGGGGTGCTGAATATAATCGGTAAGCATTTTGACAGCTTGGGAAACAAATGGGTCTAGTTCAGAGAGCAAAGACAGCAGTAAATGTTTTTGCAGGTTCATTTAGGGGTCATTTAACAGTCTGTATAGCGCTTCCATTTTTTGATGCTCTCCTGAAATGTTTTGATTTTTCTGTTTTATAAATATTTTAGCATTGGAATTAGGATAACATACAAAAATGTGTGGTTTTTAGAGATTTTCTATTACGTTATTCTTTTTACTATATACTATGTAGTCAAAAATATTTTGAAGCTTACCTGGAACATGGTTATAAAGATGCCACAGAAGTAATGTTAGAATTTTATTTTGCAGAGTAATTAGGCAGATAAGAATTTTCATAGCTTTGGGGAAATCTCTATTCATAATACTAATTAGGAAAGGTTTTCATTAGCTAGTGCTACTAAAATTTTAAGACAAAAATATAGCAGAATTTTTTTTACTTTTTTTCTGCTGATATACTTCCTAAAGGGAGACTAGGATGATTATTTTTTTATTATTGGTAATAGTACTCAGTGTGTTATGGTTCAACACCTATGCAGCTTAATATTTTGTAGGTCTTGCTTTCCTCCCTCAAAAGTGCCTGACCATCTTACTTCTCCTTTACAGGTACACGTGGGTGACTGGACGAGAGCCTCTGACTTACTATGACATGAACCTCTCTGCCCAGGACCACCAGACATTCTTTACTTGTGACTCGGACCATCTGCGTCCTGCAGATGCAAGTATGGAAAATACTTTAGATAGTTACTGAGTGGGAGGGCTTTTTGGTTTGTTTTAAAGATCAAGGTTACTACTTGTAGAATATCTGCTCTACAAAAACCCTGATGAATAAAATATTAAATTGGAGATTGACCAGTAAAACCCAGATTGTTGATACTTAAATAAAGGCTTTATCGCAATGAAGTATTAATATAGAAATGGGTCCCCTCTTTATAATTTAAAATGTTATTTTTAAAAAATATACCATGAAGCTAACTAAATCCTTGGTTGAGATAGAGTGAAAGGTCATGTCTCCTTGATGATATTCTAGTTAGAAATTCAGTGAACCCAAATAAATAATGAATATATTGTAGTGATTCATATGCCTATTTGTAGGTTCACTAGCATTGAATGGGGGCATGGACTTGGTTATTGGCATCCAGATTTGTTTTCCACCCTAGAAGAGACTTTGTTTAGCATGCATTTCATACTGCTTGAGTTCCATGTAATCCTACTGATATTTTTTATATTATCAAGCTTAAAGTAAATAGGTGAAAAAAAAAAACCTTAAAATAAAAGAATATGTACATGCTCCTAAGAAACTAACTTAGAAGATACAAATTTATAAAACAAATTAGATAAGGAGATTGTTACCCTTTTTAAAAAGGTACCCTTGCCATGGTGGATACATAATACAATGAAAATTCCAAGCATTAAGCTTCCCACAATATATTCACAAACTGCTCTGCTATATAAAAACTGGGTTTGCAGCAAACTTTGGGAACAGGTACGCATGTTAAGCAAAAGTCTAAAGCACTTTTTTCTGATCCAACTCATAATTCTTCCAGTGGTTTTAGAATGTTCTAATATCCAGATCCTGTAGCAAGTGTTTGGGAAAATGACCGATAAAAATCGTGCTGTGTCTAAACAGAAGTAAGAGATTAGTAGCAATCTCATCCCAAAATGTGCAAAATAATGTATGTTCTCTAACAACAAATGATATTAATGAGCAAAAGAAATATTAAATCTCTGTTAGAATGCCTTTTCTTTTCTTGATTAAGAAATCTTAATCAAGATTAAGTCTCTATGATTATAGACTATGGGTTAGTCTATAAGATGTTAGACCTCTAGTTTTATGAGCATAAGAAAGATTTGATATCAGCAATTGAAGGACAATGGAATAGCAAATTAGAGTGTATTTGTGTGACTTTGGAGTTTTGGGCTAACCCACTTGGTAAGTGAACTGTTCTCTTGTAATTCAAGCTGAAAGCTATTAATTTAGCTGTACCTGTACTGAGTCTTTTTAAGTATTTATTGACGTGCTTTTCTGTCTTTTTCTAAAATAGTAATGCAGAAAGCCTGGAGAGAGAGAAACCCCCAAGCTAGGATTTCTGCAGCCCATGAAGCCTTAGAGATAAATGAGTAAGTGGGGGGAAATCTTGCTTGCTGAATGTATTCAGTTGCCATTCATGGGCTACTTAAACTATGAATTTGAAATTGAGGATTATTCTGGGGGGGTATTAATTTATTAAAAAAATTTTTTTTATAAAGGACATCCATGTGAAGATAGTTTTAGTCATTTTAGACAACAATTTAGTGGCTTTGCTATGACCCTAAATTAAATCCTTCAAGGGCTAGCCATGGAACAATGTGTGGACATAAAATAAATACAGTGCTTTACATATCTAAAACATTGTGACAGGGACATTTTTCCAGATATAGAATGCTTATCTCTGCCATCACATTTCCTAGGTAGAACTTCTGCTAGTAGGGAAAACATAGTAAAAACATAAAGTGAAGAAATTATACTTTAAAAATATTTCAAGATCAAGACAAAGATAAGAGGAAATGCTGTCCTTAGTGCTGTTAAACATTCTGTGGGTCACCAAGGAAGGCTGGGAAGTTTCGTCTGGAGATGTCAGGAAATGAGAAAGATTCTTAAAGTTGGAGTCATAAAAGCTCAGGGTTGGCAGAGACCTTGAAGGTCTTGTAGTTCAAACACCCATCTGGTGCTTGAATCACCTCGACATTCTCCCTGCCAAGTGGTCATTGTTAAACTATTTTATGATTTTTCTGAAGAGGGTTACAGAATCTTCAGAGGTCTTAGTGAAAAGATTCACTTGAGAGTTGGAAATCCTGCCAGTGTAACCTGTTGATCTATTTGGTTTCTGATTCTGTCATGCAACATATTTATTTTCCAGTTTCTTGTCATCTACAAATTTGATATGCCTGCCTTCTATGTGTCATCCGTGTTTCTAATAAAAGTATCAGGACCAGGGATAGAACCCTGTGACATGACATATAGAAACCACCCTCCAGGTTCATGTCTTCCTGGATCATCACCCTTTGGTATTTATTGTACAACCAATTACTAAGCCACCCAGTTACACTGTGATTCAGCCCATATTTCTGCATTTTGATCTTAAAAATGCCAGTTGTAGCTGTGGATCTTTAATGTATAGTAAATCCATTAGAGTACATTAAGCTAGCACAAACTGATTTATTTATTCTTAGTGAATTTAAGCTAGCTTCCAGCATTCACTACTTTCTTTTAAAAATGCTTAGAAACTATCCCTTTAATAACCCATTAGAATATCTTTCCAAATAGCTGTTCTGTAGTTTGGGAAGTCTGCCTTCTTCCCCTTTTTGAACATTTTTACTGCATTAGTCATCTCATCTTCTAGAACCTCTCCATTCTTTGTGATTCCTTAACAATACACAGAGAGCAATTCCGAGGGCTGCCTACAGGATCTGTTGGCTTCCTGGGATTTGCCTATCCCAGTCCAATAATTCATTTACAATAGATCAGTTACTTGCTATCTTACATCTTTTTATTCATTTTAGGGTTTCTTCTCCCTTTGTCAGTCTGACAATCATTCTCCCTGATGGAGAAACCAGGAACAAAATAGGAGTTAGAGAGTTTTGTTTTCTCTTTATTATCTGCTGCTACTAACTATAAACTTTCCTTGTTTTGATGTTGTTGTTGTTGTGTTGTTTGTCTTTTTTGCTTATTTATATTTGTCATGGTTTTGGAGAAGTGGGGGTGGTGATAGGGCCTTAAACATAATTTAAAAACAGGGAATAGGTGGTTGTCTTTAACATTTTTTGTTTTGCCTTTATTTTGTTTTGCAAGCTTCAGCTAATGTGGAGTTGTAGCTCTCCTGACATTATTCTGAAAAGCTCATTTCTCTTGTAGTGCTTCATTACATGCCCTCTTTCCATCTTTTTTTACATGTCCTTTAGAAATATGACCTTGTGAGAGATCTCTGTGCAGCCATAGTGGTTACTTGTCACCCCTCTTTTCTTCCTGAGAGGGTCATTTGTGATTGCAGTTTTGATTAGACATTTGGAAGCTGCTTAATCCTCTTAAACCATTTTTCCTTCTGCGTCTCATGCCATTGAATCACGCCTCTTTTCTTTGAATTTTTTGAAATCCACCTTACCTTCTCTGATTATCCTAAAGTCCGAAATGACATAGTAACTCTCTCTGAATGTTCCTATCAATTTTCATTTCACCAACTATTTTTTTCTTCTTGGTCAGAATTAGGTCCAGAGTTGAAGTTCCCCTAATTGCTTCCTCTACCATCTGGGAGATAAAATTATTACCAAAGTAAGTCAAGAACCTGTTGAGTGCCCTACTTCTAACCAAATGAGACTTCTTCTAGCAGATATCTGGATGGTTGACACCCCCATCACCATACTTTCTTGCTTCTGTATGTGTATTGTGTTGTGACAGGATGCATCATCTCTATCTTCCATTGAGCTGAGCAGTCTGTTCTGTACTCCCCAACCATTAGCACTTCTATTGCTCTTTCCTTTCTCCTTCACTCATAAGCTCTTAGCATGTTTCTACCCCAGACTCATGAGTTTCTACACAGATGTATGTTTTCTTGGCCAGTAGTGCTACTCTGCCTCTCCTCCTAAGAGTGCTATTTGCAATATAAATAAACAAAGCAAGCAAGCTAGCCCCAACCTGTCTTGAGTTCCCAGCCCACCAACTATAATCTTATAGCTAATTCCTCTGATACTGTGTCCACCACTCAGTATTATAATCTCCATTTTCACTTCATTACCCTGGACCTTATATTTATGTGTCGGCATCTGAAGCCTGAAGTGTTGCTTCCCAATGCCCAACCCATTTATTTCTCCAATGAATCACTGGGCAGTTTTAGCATCATAATTGTTCTCTCCAAGTCATATCTGCTGCCCTCCACAGTAATTGGTTTTACAGCTTTTTTTCTGGGCGTTTTTTTCTCCCTACCTCACCACATTCAGTTTAAAGCCCTATTGATCAGTCCTGCCTGAAATTAGAGGGACTGGCTAAAGAACTTACAAGACCCCTTCTCAAGGCTAAGATTAACTAGTAACCCCAAATCTCACATAAGCCATAAATTCAGCCTCCTTTTCCTACCTGGCTGTTGTAGTTTATGAATAGTAGAAGTAACATTTGGTTTCACTTTCTGTTTATTTTCTCTCTTGTGGTCTGATGGAGGTTGTGATAAGTAGGGAAATGACCACAAGAGAGGCAGTGGAGAAAGCCAAGGGATATGCACAGATCAGGACCTGTGTGGTCTGCTCTGGCCTCACCATTTCCTTATTACATTCCCTTTCTTTGGCATTTGGGTTGTTGTTCTATGATTTGGAAGGTTTAAATTTTCAAGAGTTCCCCTTGTTCGTTGGTTGAGTGTTTATCCTTTCTGACTTCCTATGTTAGAGGTTGTTGAAAGGATTAAATGAGACGATATATGTTAAGTGCCTGGTACAGTGCTTAATATAAACTAAGCAACAGGTGGTAGCTATTTTTGTTAAAGGTGTGAGATTTAACCCTTGTTTGCTACTGAGGCTGAATCTAATTTTGAGCTCTTCTGAAATAACCCTACCTGTAGGTTCTTCCAGTATTCTTCTCTGACATAGAAAACCAGTGCTAACTGTAATGGGATGTTGAAGCACTGCTTGTTAAATGAATAACTTCCTTGATTTAATGAATTTCTCATTCTGAATAAACCCTTAGACTAAAGAGAATCTGTGTTTAGTAAATAAAAGTAAACTTTATGGTATCTCTAACTTTGAGTGTCAGAAGGAGATGTTTAATAACAGCTATTATCATTGCCATCGTTAGTTGACGTTGTTGAGCATGTACCACATGCTGGCTACTACTGTACTGAGCACTTTTCATGCATCACCTTACTTAACCTTCACAACAACGCTGTGAACAAGTGGATTCCATGTTGTTCTCCATCAGGGAGGCAGAGTAATAACTTGCCCAAAGTGACACACTAATAAGGGGCAGAGTCCATATGCTCCTAACACTACTCATCCTACCTCTCAAGCTAAAACACAGACATTTCTTTTGTACCATTATCTTGTGTCAACAACTACAAACAGGGGTGCATGAACCAGTTGGCCACTCTGCATGTTTTGGCATAACTCCTGCCCTTCTGCATGCACTCCTACAGCTATTACAATGTCCTTGGATTTGTAATTGATGGCGGCTGTTATCTGAATGGACAGGTGTGCAACTGCTTATATTCTCTTGGCTGAAGAAGAAGCAACAACCATTGCTGAAGCAGAAAAGCTGTTTAAGCAGGCCCTGAAAGCTGGAGACGGCTGTTACCGGCGTTCTCAGCAGCTACAGCATCATGGATCCCAGTATGAAGCCCAACATAGTAAGGTTTCCTCCAGGTTGACGTGTTGGGGGATCAGAATTGTAACATGATTGATCAGAGCAGATTTTCAGTCCAGTTCAAAAGACATTTCTCCTAGATTAGAATATTGTTTTTTGCCTTTCTTTGTTTTTATTAATTTTTCTTCCCCACAAGAGCACAGCACATAATTAACTTATAGCTTCATTACTGTTCATGTTTTCATGCCTGCCCCTAGCTTTTTAACTCTAGAAATAAAAGTAATAACCTTTAATGGTGACCCTTTTGCTCCTCAGAATTCTTACGTATTTCTGTTTATCAGTTGCTTCTCTGCCCCATAGTTTTAAATCCTAATTGGGAAACAGGACTTAAATTAGCGTTAATGCTCTCAGAGGTTTTGTCTTATGGGTCTTCTACAGCATGGGTTGCAATAGGACAGCTAAGAATATAACAGCTGTTGGTGATTGTCTCAGTATTTAGCTCTTATTTAGGAAGCACTGCTGTTGGCTCCTAGGGAGAAAGAGCCATGAATTCCTAATTATGTATCTTTTTTATATTTAAATTATTTAAAATAATGGTTTCTTTTATTTAACATAACTTTAAAATGAGACCTTTCACTTTAGTACACTAAACTGAGAGTCAGTGTTATTTTAGGGGAATGGTATAAAAAAAAGACAACAAAATCATTTCTGGAATTTCTTGAGCTCCTCGACTTGTCAATTTGTTGGTTGTTTAAGCAGAAATTTAGTGATCCTTGTGAGAGGGAGTGTTTTCATTGTCTAACCAAACTTTGGGTTGTTTCTTTAAAATGGAATTTCTCTCCTTTCTCTCTCCTGCGTCTTGGAGAGTAGGAGTGTATCTCCTTCATATTTGAGATTATAAAATTAAGTTTTAGTGTTAAGCCTGGATTTGGTGCAGAAACTGAATGCATTAGTCCCTGTGACTAAGGTATAATGAGATCTTTGCATTGTGGCCTGTGTATATAAGTCTGTCCACATAACCCCTCAATACACAGGTTTTAATTTTTATTCTTAGTAGTATATATGTTAATCAGGTCTCTAATCACCATCTGTATCTTGCTTTTTTTAAAAAAATTATGTATAGCACAGTGAATTTTGAAGACATATATAGTAAATGTCTGTTCTGTGAATTAAATGAGGATTAATACATAAAATTACATAATCTGTAATATAACTTGAGAAATTTTCTTTATTTCTTTTCTTCTGTAAATTAATCCCTTCAACCTGTTGCCTAAATCTATCCAAAAACATATAATCACATCTTTAAAGTAATTTGTAGGTACTTGGCGGATATTCAGCACACATCTTGTTCTCATTGTTTGAAACTTGAAATGTTAGTACTTTGGTCTTAACATCTTTTAATAGCTGCATATTATACATATACTTAATCTATAACAGGTGTGTCATATTTTTCTAAAACATGGTAATTTTATTGAGGATTAAGTACATACATGTTCTCACTGGTCTGGAAACATATCCAGAAATACACATAATTAAAGAAGAGATTAAGATGAGAAGTTGTTAATGTACTTTTTAAGAGCCATTTTAGTGACTGTTATTACAAGTATTTAGCTTGTCAATACTTTCTCTAACACTAGGGTAGTTTTTCATTTTGTTGCATGGTCTATTGTCATATCTGGAATGTGTTATGTTGCCATTTAAAATTGACTGCTTTGGGGACCTGGAGATGATTATGATGTCACTAGTGTTAGGGAAAGAATAATGTAAAACAGAAGTTCAAGATGAGGCTTCTCCAGACTTAATGTCAAGAAGGAAAAAAAAATAGTTCATCAGGATGCAACCTGAGATTCACCTCTTTGCATCTTCACCAAAAGCATGCACGCTAGTAGAATGTGGAATTCTTGCTTGTAAACCTCATACAATGTGGGTATGTTCATTTTCCCAGCACTTTGTAGCAGATGATTTTATTTATCGAATATTCAACATCCTAACTCAAAAGCATGACTTAATAGTCACATGATTTGACCTTTGGAAGTCTAAGTACTTTGACTTTACTCTGTTTGCATTCTACTATTAGAAAAGTTGTCAGTGCTCCTGGCAGTAAGGAAAAGTCAAAGGAGCAGACTCTTCTCTCTGAGGTTTTCCTTTAAGGGCATGAAAAATACGCCTCTGTATTTTTTCTTGCTGCTGAGCTGAAAGCTCTTGTTTTTTTTTTAAGTTTTGGTGCTTTATGTCTCCCTCTTCAGGACGAGACACCAATGTCTTGGTCTACATCAAAAGAAGGCTAGCAATGTGTGCCAGAAGACTCGGGAGGACCAGAGAAGCAGTGAAAATGATGAGAGATGTGAGTTTGAATTCATGTTTGGGAACAGTGACAATGCACCTGACTTACAGAAGGAGGAACCCACTGAATGGGGCCACGGCAGATAGTACCACTGATGGTGTGGTGGTCCCATAAGGGCTGGGGTTCTGTTCTAGCTCCAAACTTAGTAGATGAGTAATCTTGGACAAGTTACTCAGCTTGTTTGTGCCCTGTTTCCTCACCTGTAAAGTGGGGATAACAGTAACTTTAACAATAACAGTACACTAATAATAATGATTACTACTTAGGAGTGTTGTGAAGATTAAATGAGATAATACATGCAAAGCTTTTAATAGAGTGACTGGCCTATTTAAGAAATCTCAGTAGATATCCTTATTATTAGACCTTTGGGACTGTAGCCAGAAGCCAAGAATGAGATCAGCCATTTTAGCTAACTGACTTTTTTTGTGTTTAGTTGTTAGGAAGATTTGAATAAACTATGGCTCAAATTGCTACTCTCAAATTTAATAACATTATGATCTAATCTTATTATAGTCACTTCAAGCATTTTCCTACGTTTTTGAATCAGGATATTTTATTAGTGGTAGTTAACATAATAAGAGAAAATAGGTGAGAGTTTTAAAACAGAAGAGAACCAAAGGAGGTTATTATTATGTAACTAAATAAAAGCAGTGGTTTTAAGGGAAACCAGTTGAGGAACTTTTACTTCCACATTTTTTTTTTCACTTTTTTTTTTATAGTAAGAAATACTTTTCATAAAGAAACGGACACCAGTGGGAATTGTATTTATAAACCATTTTCTTTTTAAAAACAATCTCAGAAAGCCTTTGTCAACGTTTTATTCTTCTATTGTCTTCCTGAATTAGGAGACAGGTAACTGCCCATTATAAAAATAAAAGAAACGAGGGGTAAGATAAAAGTGGCATCCTGCCCAATTCTCAGCTTTTGGGTTTGAGAACAGGACTGTGTAAACCCAGTGAGCCTTTCCTCAGTTTGTCTCTGGAAGGGTAGTAATTCATGTAAATTCCCAGTTACTCTTTGGTGGTGGGGACCTGCACTCCAGGCTCAGCCCTGGTTATTTCTGCAAGTTACAGTCTAATGTGAAGGCCCAAGTGAGGCCCATACTTCTGGCTCGGGTTCTGGCTACTCCATTAAACAGCAGTTTAGCCACCAGACGTGAGGAGAGGAACAGAGGAGGGAGATTCCAAGATAATTCTAACTTGACTGAAGGTGATAGATGTTTCTTAGGCAAAGCCACTGCAAGGGGGATCTCCCAGGATTAAATTCTTTTGGTCGAAGGAAGAATTTAAAGAATGCTATATAGTGCTAAATTTTAGAAAAGGAGATTTCTGTAGAAACATGACTTGCCTGCAAAGCTTTTTAACTTGCAGAAATTCCAGCTTTTGATATAGTGCAGAAACTCTACCAGTCCCTGAAAGAGCTGAGAATTTTATGAAGGATGGGGTACTTCTGTATCTTAAAGTGGCCCAGCCACATTCAGCCTTTAACAGGGTATTTTATATTTATTGCCTTTTCTTAACCTTAATTAGCCTGGGACAGGCGTGCATGGAGGAACAGATTTTGGTGATTTTCTTTATTATATGCTTAAGCAATTTCATAGGAAAAACAAACTCAGATGATTTTAATTCCAGTTTTTTAAATCAGTCTCATGCTGATTGTCATCATTTTTAGTATATACATATAAAATTTCACATGATTAAAAGCAATATGTCTATACTATGGTTTGATTTTTGTTTAACCTTATTTTATATTTACAATCCCATTTATTGACTTAGTCTACAAATAGATCTTGGGGGAAAATTTGGAATCCAGTGTAATAAATGCTGGGCAGGGAGTAGGAAAACCTGCAGGTAACTCTCAGCTTTGCTCTTCACTAGCTTTGTGACTCGAGGCAACTTCCTTCCCTTTCATGGGCTCTTCATTTGTCTTCTATAAATTGGGGATAATGATTCTTACCTAAAAGAGTAACTGAGGGAGTCATGGGGACAATGAAATGAGATAATGTGAAAACACCTGGCATATAGTAGACGTGCTTACCTTTCTTCCCTATTTTTTCTCCATTACATAATTATGTCTTAATTTTCTGAACTATACCCCTGATGGGCATTTTGGGATATTTATGATTTCTTTTTCTTGAATGAATCAATTAGTCTCTCTCCTTCTCTTTTCATATCTGTATACACACACATCCATATACATGTATATATCTATAATCCTATGTATATATTTCTTGGGTTACTTTTCTAAAAAAAAAAATCTGTCATATTATTAGACGACCAATACATGTTGTCTTTCGACTGGGTCTACGGAGCATCCAGTAGATATGGGCCCTAGTGCTGTAAACAGTCCAGTGAAGGACACCGTCAGACATGGTGGAGATTTGTTTTGAAGAGAAATATCCAAAGTGCTCTTTCCTTCAGAAACTGCTGGAACCCTAAATGGAGGAGGGGAGGTTGAGGCCCCTCTTTCTGTTAAAGCCGAAGCTGGTCCCCGCCCTGCAGCAGACAGTTGGGCCAGCCTGGCTCCTCTCAGGTCACGGGTCATGCGTAGACGGGGACTTCCCTGAGGGGCCACTCCTTCAACAGTGTGCTCACGAACCATCTTGCTGGGAAGCTTCCTCTGATAAAACAGCACGCTGGGTTCCAGGCAGCCTGCTGATAAAGCATTAGGGCAGGAGGATCTAAGTTTTCATTAAGACACAGCCATCCTCCCCCGTGTGCGTTAGTCGAAACTTTCCTAGAGCAGATTTTAAAGTGGACATAGAAATGGCAGAGTCAGAATGCCTTCCCTGTAGAAAGTAGACTCTTTAAAACATTTCTCTGGCAATCCCTTAAGAAAGGGAAAACTGTTAAAAACTGTTCATTGGTGATTTATCCTGAAAGAGAATGAATGGGAATTCTGGGAAGGCCAGCTGTCGATGGTTATGGATCAAAATATTGATCCTGTAAGTGAAATATTGATGAGGTAAGAAAACATAGGCTTCTTAATGTCAAGATTCATGGTTTCTCGTTTTGAAAGCAACACATTAATTATTTTGAATTCCCAGGATGTTTTCTCAAAAACTCACTTTAATTAGCTTCCTTTTGCAGTCAAGAATACAAAAGCACCTTCCTTACTGAAGGAGTGTTTGGCAGTGAATAGAGCTAATAAGAGAGCATGGTGGCTTTTGAACTTCACTATGAGGTGTTACTTATTATTCAAAATGAAAAGAGTTACATTTAAAGAAAGTCTTTCTTTTTCAAATTTAAAGAAAGTCTATTTGCTTACTCTCATTTGGGGGAATTTTGCCTCTTTTATTTTTTTAATTTAAAAAGTTTTTATTTTCTTTCGTTTTTGTTTTTGTTCTTCCCCGCCTCTTTTATTAACATCTGATACGTGACACAATTTTTCTCTTTTTAACTTATGCCACTTAGCTAACCTCACATTTTTCCTCTGTCTTTCCCTGGCCCTATTTGAGTAGATTGGAAATAGAATTCATAAGGCTGACTGGTCTGGCCCCTTAGCCATACTCAGTCAGAATTGGTGTAAACTGGTATGGGTGGGATTGTGTGCTCAGATAAGAGGACCCTCTTAAAGCTCCTCTTGCCCCAGGTCATTTGGTCCAGGGTATGATTTCCCAGTCTTGGCACTATTGACATTTTGTGCCACATGGCTTTGTCGTGGGTGTCCTGTATTGTAGGCTGTTCAGCGGTATTGCTGGCCTCTACCCACTGGATGCAGTAGCAGCCCACCCCCTTGTTGCTCCCCAGTGTGACAACCAAAAATGTCTCTAGACACTGCTAGTCTTTAGACATTTGTCCCCTAGGGGAGGGGGTGTGCAAAATCATTACCCATTAAGAACCACTGATCTGGAGAATCCTACAGTGAGTAGATATGTTTTAGGGCAGACGTCAGATTTTTATTCACTCTGCTTGTTGGTAGTCTGAGTTTCCCCTATGGTGGGTACAAACCTCTAAAGCATCCCTAAAATTGATTAGCTCCTACTAGAACCCTTGACCTGGGACCAGGCTGGTTTGAGGAGCTATTTTGTCTCATATGGGATTCCCTGAACAGGTATCTGGGGTATGAAGAGTAAATGAACTTAAAGATTTTGGCGGTGTCCTAGTTGGAGGGATAAGAAAGAAACAGAGGCAAATTATGGGGTGGAGGTCTTCCTTGGTCCTTGTCCATGCTTCTAGATCATCGTCTGCCTCTCTTCCCTAACATCTAAAGCTCCTTTGAAAGTTGACCGTAAGCTCTCAGACTTTACCACCTGTTTTGCCTCCTTTTGGTAGTTTTCTGCAGACCTCTGAGTCATTCTCCCTGATTCCTGTTTCACCCTCTCTCTCTGCAACACTACCTCTTTCACTATCCTGGCCTCTCATTTGACACAGGTCATCACAACCTTCTTAAAACATTTTATTTATTTTAGGAAACCATGCTCTCTAAGTTCTCCTGAAATTGCAGTCTTCCTGGCTAGATTGTCCTCATCTTCCTAACTTCCCAAATTTGAAGTGTCCCCTGGCCTGTCCTAAGCCTTCCTTTCTATTTCCATCTACAACTCTGGATGATGACATTTAGACTCAGAGTTTTAAATACCATCTAAATGCTGATGAACATTTCTGTAGTGTTTATTATGTTCTAGGCGTTATTTTAAGTGCTTTACAAATATAAATTACTTAATTCTCATAACAGCCCTTGACGTAGGTGCTTGTTCAAGGTTACATAGCTAATGAGTATTTCTGAGAATGTGATCTTCCAATCCAATCACCTGCACCAGAAATATCCAGGGTGCTAGTTGAGCACCTGCTTCACAGGATTAGTGTAGGAATTAAATGGAATAATCCGTACAAGGCACTCGGCACAGGACTTCACGAATAAGTACTCAGTGTGCTATTCTTACCATTACTGTCTAAGATATATTGTTAAGTGATAAGGAAAGGTGTAAATATTAGGTATCGTTTGATTCCATTTTTTTCAATTAAAAATAGATGCTAATATCAACCAGTGGTTCTCAAACT